CACGGTTGTTCCGTACTGTTTTGGCATCTTGCCATTACGGTAAAAAGGCCATGGAGTGGTACGCTGCCAACAACGTGCAGGTGGTTCCCAAGGACAAGAACCCTCCCAACACGCCAGAGCTCCGCCCAATTGAGAAATACTGGGCTATTGTCAAGCGGAACCTAAAGAAGACCAAAAAAACTGCTAAGGGCGAGCAGCAGTTCAAGGCAAACTGGCTTTCTGCGGCGAAGAAGGTGGACAAGGTGGCTGTACAAAATCTGATGGCAGGGGTCAAGCGTAAGGCCCGGCAATTCGGATTTGGAAAAGCGGAAGCCTAACTGAATATTTTTCCTGAATTTTATACTAATTGAACTTGAAAAAGAAATTTAATTTGATTTTTTAAATAAACGATTTCACCGATTTACACGCGTTTTCCCTTGACCAAATTTTGACCGTATCACCATTTACTTCCCATCCGAAGGAAGGCGTGATCAGAGATGTTATGCCTCAGAACATCCCGGCGGCGCTGACTGGGATTGAACCCAGGCCTGCTGGGGTGAGAGGTAATCACGCTTACCACTACACCACCGGCGCTGTTGGAACCAACAGCTATTGCGCGAAATTAATACAGCGAGAACGAAACGTACGCAACAAAAAAAAACACAGAACGCACGTGGCTAGGAATGATTAAAAGACGCGTCCAAACCGACTGACGATCGATTATATTTTTGACGATCGATAATTCTTTGGTTCAATCATCTAAAGGTCATTCCAAAGAAAAAAGTTAGTGTGAATCTTAGAATTTCGTTGCAATTGTTAATTTTGTTTTCTGTCGAAAAATATTAAACGGGGAATTTCTGTAATTATTTATATGAAAGCACGTATTTAAAAAACTACGTCAAAAATAAGAATTCAACTTATTTCCATTCGGATAAATATAATTTCACATGGTTATTTCTTTTCCCTAAAGGTTTAAAGTGGTTTTCAGGTCTTTTGGTTGATTGTCATCTAGCCGAAAACCAATTGACAGAATGTCATTTAGCTGAAAGCCGTTTGGCTGAACGCTATCAGGCCGAATACTATTTCACCGTTTTCTGATCAACTACAAATCGATAAACGGTCTTATTTATTTACATGCTGGACTCTCTCAGAGTATCGCTATTATTAGTGTCGAAAGTGTTTTTCATGAATACAATTTTGAAAAACTTTTGAAATAAAGACTGGAACGTGCAAAAATTGGTCGCCAAAAAATCGTTCCTTTCAGTCAAAATTTATTTCACAAAAATCTTCTTATTTTTTTTGGTACCGTGCCGATTCAAATTTTGGACACTTAAACTCGAATTTCGGACACTTTTAAAAGTTGATTATCTCGGTCGAATATGATCCACATGTCTTGTAAATTTTAAATTTTTTTGTCTAGTGCCCTTCACGATCATCTAACATTATTACTTTGTTTCTAACTGGATGTAATATTTAATTAAAAATGAAAGTGTCCGAAATTTGATTCGTCCGAAATTTGAATCGGAACGGTAGTTCAATTCATATTTTTAAAGAAATACATGTTCGTTTATTTTTTTTTGGTTTGCCTAATCCAAACTGCCGTGCCTTCCGCTTAACCCCTTCCGTTTAATTTTGCACAGTGGTCTCATCGACCTGATTCGCCACCGAACGCCAGTTAGATTTAAACTGCTGCTCGTTTTCCATGGATTTATTAGTTTTTTTGAGATTCCGTTTGACCAAGGCCCAATACCGTTCGAAAGGGAGGAGTTCTGGGCTGTTGGGAGGGTTGTGGTATTTGGGTACCACAAACACGTTGTTCGCATCGTACCACTCGATTGCCTTTTTCCCATAGTGGCAGCTCGCCAAGTCCGGCCAGAACAGAACAGGTCTATTATGTTGCATTAGGAATGGTAGCAGCCGCTTTTTCAGGCACTCCTGGGCGTAGATCTCTTGATTGATGGTTCCCGTAGTAATGAAAATGCCGCTTTTTAGACCACACGTGAATATGGCCTGCCAGACGAGATATTTTTTCGTCTCGATAGTTTGATGGTTTTGAAAATTTCAGCCACCTTCCCTTTTCCTGATGCGGTACAAAATTCCTGTCCCGGAAGCTGCTTGAAATCGGCCTTCACATAAGTTTCGTCGTCCATGACGACACAGTCGAGCTTTGTGAGCAGATTCGTATACAGCTTTCGGGACCGCTGCTTTGCCGACGTGTTTTGTTTGTAATCTCGGTTCGCCACCTTCACCTTCTTAAACGTCGACAACTCGGCTCGTTTCTTGGACCGCTGCACAGAAGTATAGGAGACATTGAGCTTACCAGCGACGTCCCGGGTGGAGAGGTTAGGATTCGCTTCGTCGTCGCTGCCACATCCGGATTACGATTGTCGTCGCTTCTAGGCTTCCTGGTGGTTGACAGACGCTCCCCGAACACTTTTAAAACGTTTGTCACGGTCGATTTGGCCGCATCCAGCAATTTTGCCAACTTGGCGTGTGAGAACGTCGGATTCTCTTACTGCGTGAGCAAAATTTTGACAAACTGCTTTTCTTGCTTAGACGTCATTTTGAAAACTGGAGAGCAAACGGTGAAAACTCATCATAGCAACCATTGTATATACACTCAACTTCCAAATGCAGCATTTCAGGTTTTTTTTATGCATTTTTAACAGAAGTACACCAATTTGAAGTTAACCAATTTTTGCGCGTTCCAGACTTTATTCAGTAATTAGATTAGTACGAAAAGTGATCAATTCTCCTCAAGTATTCAGCCGAATGGTATTCGACTTTACATTCAGCCAAACGGCGTTTGATCAACTAACCGGACACCTTAGTAAATGCAGTTCATGGCTAAAACTTTGATGTTGAAAAAACGTGAACGGAGACTGGGTGGAGGGATAAAAGGCAGAATTTCCAGAGGTAGACAGACAAATGCACAGTGGTCCAGGATGGGAATTTAGCAAAACAAACGTCCTAGTGCAAGTGTCTTAAGTTTTAGTGATGTAGTGTCTTCTGTCAACTTTTTCAGCTTATAAAGCTTGTTCTTTTGGCCGTCTTCAAAATTAGGGTGGTCCTCATTTTTTTGTTATTGAAAAACTAACTTTTTTCTTATTGAAAATAACAACGCATGATCTTCAGCAAAGTTGTAGCTGAGATGATTTCAAGCTCCTTTGTTATTTTTTTTTTCTATCTCTTACCCTTCTCAATTTGTAGAAATTTTGATGTCTTAAATAAGGGTAATCCTGAAAGAAAAAATAGTTATTTAGCTCTCACTTTTTATTTAAAAAAAAAGTGATCTTCAGATGCTTTTTGGGGTTTGTTGAAATACACATTTTTGTCGAGTAAAGTAAATTAACATCTCTTATAATTTACGAGACAGCACCCTTTCACTGTAGCAAGAGAAAAGACATATTGATTTTATCTTAAGTTTATGTGGATATGGGTCTTCTGTGAGCAAACATCGAAGAACATAAAAGGTCAAAAGGGTAAAAAGTTTATAGAAATAGATGAAACAGTAGGCCTTAACTTGGGAAATTTTGTTTCTGGGTTTTGACGTAGTACTACGTCTGTGATTTTTATGTGGGGGTACACTTTGTGAAAACCAAAAAATGGAACATGCAACAAAATTATGAAAGATTTTGAACGTTAATAACTCAGTTGCCTCTGGACCAATTTCAACAATTTTATCACCAATCGATCAGAAATATTTCTATTTCTAAAATTTAATACTTTATCATTTTTCAAATTTTGATTAATGATCATCGCACAAATGTGCAACTGTTGCTATGATCATTAAAATTATCACCGATTGCCTGCGAAAAGCGATTTCCCTAAAACAGATTTCAAAGTTGAATTCCATCCGGTCTCACCAAACGGTGTTTTTTTAATCACCGCTTGGTGAGTGGTGGTGTTCTCCAGGACACAACGAAAGGCTGCCCGCAAGCAGCTAGCTATCAAGGCTGCCCTCAACCGTATTCAGTTCCAATCACCGTGTGTGGTGGTGTCCGGTCGTTGGCATCAGCTGCAGCAGCAGCAGTGCTTTCGGCGCGTGGCGTTGAACATTGTTCTCCAGTGCACAACTAAACAAGAAGAAGAAGAATCCACACAGCTATTGATCGGAGTCAGTAGCTCTTCGTGAGTCGCTGTGGGCCATGTCAAGTGCGTCATACTCTCAAATTCCTATTCCTACACAAAACACAAGCTCCGGCTGCAATTAACAAATAAGATTTATTATATAAGACCACGTAGTCCTACGTCACCCCATAAGTATGTCCCTAGTAGTTTTTATTTGTCTTTTGCTTCTTTTCTACTCTGGAGCAAATTCAAAAGTTTCTCATTTAAAGAGCACTCTGAGGAATGTGACTTTTATCTAACCGCACCACTCTTTTTTCCGTTCAGATTTGTGTTTTCCTCAATGTGAATGTTTTTTTTCTCAAAGCTGTGAATAATGTTTTTTGAATCATAAGCTGTAAAGTTTGCTCTTTGTACTCAATGTGTGAGGAAATAACAATCCTGGTTATTAGTATCTTCACAGATAAAAGTATCTTCACAGATAAAAATTTGAATAGTGATGTAAACATTCATTCACGTAAACTTGTATTTCATTTAAGAGATGAACTAGCCTATGACTAAAAATCTCTCAAATAAAGGAAAAAAAAAATGTATTTCATTTAACGCAACCGAGCAACTTGTAAAAAATATTGTTTAAAACAATGGGCTTTTGTATACAATATTTGCTACATTGCATGAAATGTCTCAGAACTTTACATGATATATAATGTAAACTTGTATGATATGTGACGCTCCCTTTATGTGCATCATACTGAACTGAAATTTACACTACTTTTTCGAACTGTGTTCCACTAATACTCGACTTGTACAAGACACTGTAGAAATGTTTACATTGGAGATTAAATACGCGTATCTGTCCAGGATAAGTCAGTTAACTGGACATTATTATCCCTACTATCTTTCTTTAAATATTAATATTTTGTTTACATCCACCACCTGTTTTCCACAACTAGAATTTTAAACAAAGAACGTCGATCCAACGATGCCTTCCACAAGCGAACGAAGCGGGACGTCACTACACAAGCGGAAGTTGATTTCGACCACTATTGGACTTTGGATGAAATCTATGCGTACGTGGAGGATCTGGCGGCAAACAACCCAATGGTGACGGTCTTCGATATCGGAACCACACCGGAAGGAAGACCAATCAAAGCGCTAACGATTTCCTCCGCTGGCCAGGTTAGCATGAACCGTCCGGTTGTCTTTATGGATTCTGGCATTCATGCGCGGTAGGTTTCCTGAATTTCAAAAGTACCAAATCTTGTTTTAAAAACCATTTTTCACCTGCAGTGAATGGGCTGGTATAATGTCGGTTATGTACATGATCCAACAGTTTGTCGACCTACCAGAGCAGTATGCTGAACAACTAGCCAACACCGATTACGTCATCATTCCTGTAATGAACCCGGATGGATACGTCTACACCCACGAAGTGAACCGACTTTGGAGGAAGAACCGTGCGCAGAACAACATCTTGTGTGCCGGTGTCGATCTTAATCGAAACTTCCCATTCAAGTGGGCTTTTACCAGCAATGCCTGTACCAATACTTTTGCTGGGATGGAGCCTGCCACTGAACCGGAAACTCAAGCAATGATGGCCTTGATGGAGCAGTACAAATCCGCTATGGCTATGTACATTGCCGTGCATACTCACGGGGAGATGATCCTGTGGCCTTGGGGTTACGATTTCATCCATTGTGACAACTCGGAAGAACACGACACCCTGGGCAGGCAGGCTCGGGATGCGATTGTTGCTGTGGGAGGTGACGAATGGACGGTTGGAAATTCCGCTGATGTTCTGTACAAGGCTTCAGGGGCTACGGACGATTATGCTTTCAATAGCGGAGCTCGAGTGGCGTTCACGATTGAGCTGACTGGAGGAGGACTGGAAGGGTTTGATCTGCCGGCGTCCCAGCTTGGCAAGGTCACTAAGGAGACCATGGAAATTTTCAAGACCTTTGGCAAGTACGCTGGAACGTTGCCACTGCCATCAAGTGAGTTGCAGTAGATACGGGCAAATGATTAACTTTGCATGAGAAAATTAAATGAGATAAAATAAAATTTACGAATTTACGAATCATTATCAACCGGTAAGGTATGACTGACATAATTATTTTTGATTACGAACCGAACGTGTACCTGAATTACTGAAATCAACCAGTGTGATGAACCACGTGACAGATGATTGAATAGGTTCATTAGCGTGTTTTACCACCAGAGTGTCAAATTGTTTATCAATTATCACATCGGCAACTGACCTCAGAAATATAGAAAAAAATGTTTCTACAAACGACACTTATGTTGGAATCGATCAATAGTGTGTTTGCTAGACTCCACCACTTTTTCTGCCAGCCATGCACGCGATGATAAATGCACGCTAATGATGATTTAATAGTACCCCATTATAGGTTATATATAGACCTTTCGGGAAGCGTGTCCAGCTCTAAATATCTCTACCTTAGGAGGCGTTGAACGTTTATGAATACTTGTTGATGATTTGTTTTTCGTCGGTAATGTGGTAAGCGTGATTACCTCTCACCCCAGCAGGCCTGGGTTCAATCACAGTCGGCGCCGCCGGGATGTTCTGAGACATAACATCTCTGATCACGCCTTCCTTCGGAAGGGAAGTTGGTTTCCGGTTCATGGTAGGGTCCAGGTGGGAGCTGCCTCCCCGGCGTCGGTAGCATTGGTGCTCAGCACGGAAAACAAGATCGACGAAAAACAAATCAATGAAAAAAAAAGTTAATCATGAAATATACAAAGAGGCATTAAATTTACATCACAAAACAGATCCCTAAAAGGGCTTTAAGCAAATTTTAGCAAATTATAATGAAATTATAGGGCGTGTTTTAGAAGTTAAAGTTAAATTATCTCTGAAAGTTTAAATTTCAAGAAAGGTCATTTTGTTTTACTAGCAGTGAAAAATAATTAAATTGGCATAAGAATTTAAAGAACTTTAATGAAAAAAAAAAATCAATTTAACGGGAAAATCAAAATTATTGGAATCTTACACGGATAAAAATTCTGAATTTTAATTGGCTGGCAAATGACTGGAACAATGCGTACCACCGGTACTTCGCGTACTTGAAGGTTATAAAATAGACCCGTCACGCAAGTGAAAGTGGTCCTTAGCCTCCTGCCCAGTAACTCCTATCCCTTCCTCCCCGCGGTGCCAGCTGGGGTACGAGTAACCTTAGGGAAAATCGGGTAACCAACCCCGGTGGGAACTTTGGTCGTATGCTGACAGGGAACGGGGAGCTGCATCCTTTTCGGAGGATGTGGCATACAAAACCCGAGCGTCTGTTAACCATGTTAGGGGCGGTTCAAACAGCGTCTGACCGGCATCCAGCGGCTGAATACGAAATGCGTCTCCCCGAAAGCTATACCCAAGATGGCAGTCCCATCACGGTGGATAGGAGACCTTTGGCCAACCTACTGTCTCCGAAACCTTCAAATTGTTTCAGAAACCTATAGTGAAGGATTACGAACTGATTTTATGGCAACGACTTTTAGTGCTAAACAACGGACAAGAGTTGGAACATAGAATGTACTGACGCTAGCCCAACAGGGTAAACTGGCACAACTCGCCAGTGAGACCCGCCGTATGAAGCTAGAAATCCTGGGACATAATGAAGTCCGCTGGCCGAACTTTGGAGAACACAAGCTGCCGTCGGGACAGGTACTATTATATTCTGGCATGCGAGGTGAAAACGCTCCGCGACATCGTGGAGTTGGCTTTCTGCTTAGCGCCCAAGCACAGGCTGCGCTCATCAAGTGGGAACCTATCAATGAGAGAATAATCGTTGTCAGATTCAGAACACGGGTCCGAAACCTTACCATAATACAATGTTATGCGCCAACCGATGCTGCCGAATTGCAGGACCAAGAGAACTTTTACAGTCAACTGAATGATGTCGTGGATAAGACTCCAAGAGGTGATATCAAGATCTACACAGGCGACTTCAATGCGAAGATCGGCTCCGACAACTTGGAGTATGAGTGCATTATGGGACGCCATGGTCTCGGAGGTATGAGCGAGAACGGCGAGCTGCTTGCAGAGTTTTGTGGCAACAACGACATGGTGATCGGGGGTTTGATCTTCCCCCACCTCCCATGTCACATGGGTCTCCCGTGATGGATATACAGATAACCAAATCGACCACATCTGCATCAGCCGAAAATGAAGACGGAGCCTTCTTGATGTTCGGAATAAACGCAGCGCTGACATCTCGTCTGACCATCATTTTCTGGTCGGTGAGATCCGCCTACGCATTGCGCGGGTTCAACGGCGGGAGGAGAGACTCGGGCGGCGATTCAACACACGCCGACTGGAATATCCAGAAGTGAAGAGATCGTTCGTCGAAGAAATCGAGGTTCGCGCAGCTAATATTCCGGAAGGTGGCAGCGTAGAAGAACAGTGGACGAGCATCAAGAATGCCTTTATTGAAACAAGCGAGAACAACCTGGGTGAGCTGCGCACTCAGAGGAAAGAGTGTATCACCGATGAAACCTGGAGGAAGATCGAGGAGCGGAGAGAAGCAAAAGCCGCGATAGAGCTAGCAAAGAACGAGGCCCGTCAGCGGTATTCGGCTCTAGAAAGGGAAGTTAAGCGCTCCTGTATACGGGACAAGCGAGCGTAGGTGAACTCCCTGGCTGATGAAGGGGAGAAAGCCGTAGCAACTGGCGATATCCGACTCCTCTATGATGTTTCACGACGCTTGATTGGGGCAAGGATGAACCCACGGATGCCTGTGAAAGACGTGACTGGACAGTTGCTCACTGACTCCACTGACCAGTTGAAACGTTGGTTTGGCATCAACTATTCGTTAATATCTGGAACATCGGGACTTTTCCGGCCGACTGCATGCAGGGCGTCTTGGTTAAAGTCCCCAAGAATGGGGATCCAACTGTATGCGACAACTGGCGAGGCATCATGTTACTGTGTATTATTCTCAAAGTTCTGTGTAAAGTTATCCTTAATCGGATACAGGAGATGATCGACGCGACTCTCCGACGACAGCAGGCAGGATTCCGTGCTGGAAGATCCTGTGTGGACCATATTGTCACGCTCCGCATCACCTTGGAGCAGATCAATGAGTTCCAAGAGTCCCTGTACTTGGCAGATATTCATTGACTACGAAAAAGCTTTCGACCGACTAAACCACGAAAACTTGTGGGGCGCTCTGAGACGCAAGGAAGTCCCTGATAAGATCGTCAACCTCATCGAAGCGCAGTACGAGGCTTTCTTATGCAGAGTGTTGCACAACGGAGCTTGGTCTGACCCGATTCGGGTATTCGCGGGTGTGAGGCAAGGATGTATATTATCACCGCTACTGTTCCTCATCGTAATCGACGAAATCATGGTTGGAGCCGTTGACCGTGTACCGAACCGTGGGTTGCTGTGGCAGCCTATTACCCTGGAGCATCTCAACGACTTCAATTTGGCTGATAATGTTGCGTTATTAGCACAACGGTGCTCTGACATACAGAGTAAGCTCGACGACCTTGTGGAAAGCTCCTCTGAAGCAGGTCTAACCATCAACGTCAACTAGACCAAATCGTTGGATGCCAACACGGAAAACCGTTCCAATTTCACGGTAGCTGGGTAGGCCGTGGAGAAAGTCGAAAGCTTTCAATATCTTGGCAGCCAGATAGCGTCGGACGGCGGCACCAAGAGCGACATAGGTGCACGGATTAAGAAGGCGAGGGCTGCTTTTTCCAGTTTGCGAAAAGTATGGAAAGCGAATCAGATCAGTCGACGCACCAAAATCCGAATTTTTAACTCGGACGTGAAGTCTGTGCTGTTATACGCCAGTGAAACATGGTGTGTATTAGCGGAGAACACTCAGAAGATGCAGGTGTTTATCAACCGATGTACATAATTTGTGCCTGGTGACCCCACAATTGGATTTCAAATTCCGAGCTTCATCGTTTGTGCCATCAGTAGCCGATAGAGATAGAAATTCGTGAACGGAAGTGGAGGTGGGCCACACACTACGACGGAGTGGAAACGAAATCTGTAAGCAAGCACCGAACTGGAATCCAGCAGGACATCGCAGCAGAGGCAGACCCAGAGGCTCGTTGCGGTGGAGCCTAAACAGTGAAATTTGAACGTTGACCGAAATTTGACTTGGACACAGGTCAAGGACAAAGCTAGTAATCGCCCAGGATGGAAATCCTTCACAAAGGCCCTTTGCACCCCTGGAAGTGCACAGGATCGTTAAGTAAGTAAGATGTAAACATTCATTCACGTAGACTTGTGTTTCATTTCACGCAACCGAGCAACTTGCAAACAATGTTGTTTACAAATATGGACTTTTGTATACAATATTTGCTAAATTGCATGAAATGTGTCAGAACTTTACATGATATATAATGTAAACGTATATGAGATGTGACGGTCCATTTATGTGCATCATATTGAACAAAAATTTACACTACTTTTTCGAACTGTGTCGATAGGCCACTGTTGAGAGCCAATCTTCTACAACAATAACTATCTCAAAACGCCAATCGTGAATGAAGGGATCGTTATGGAATAAATATCACAGAAACTGAAACAGTTATGAATCGGGCAACTATACAGTCATCATTATGCAAATGCTATTTGCAGTTATACCTAGGTACGTTGAAAATTAACATCTCTTTTTGCTTTTGAAATAACCTACAAGTTCTGCAATTGCGCCTTTTCTTATGCATGTGGGCTAGCCTAGATGTTTATTAGACTTTTGGCTTTCTTATCTGTAATAACTACTCACAAGCGCGGAAAGACAGGGGCGCAGCTTCTTGAAAATACTTGCATTTCGTTCTAGTCAGGGTTGCTTTTGGTTGGTTTTGGCTACCGGAATAATGATTTTCGTTCCCAAAGATACACCAACAACACACCGAACTATGATTGTGGAATCTCGGTTCTTGCATAGTCCAAAGCCATCGTACTTTATCATCCCATTTACTCACCTCACCCTCAAATGGATAAAACTTTTCCAATAATTCTCACTTTCCTCGCCCCGACAAACTTGTCGCAT